GTTTTTTTTGTTGTCCCCTCTAGGGTCACCAAAATAGCCCTTTTGGCTTATAAATTTCTAATAACTGGAATAGCTGTATGCTCGATTATCAAGATAGAAATAACTTAATTGCATTCTTTCTAACAATTTAGGTAACATAAGATTTTTGCAAAAATTTCAAGATCTTTAATATCAGAGCCACCTATGGAAACACCATCTAGAGACAGTGTAAATATTTTTAAATTATTTTTTTATCTGCATACTTGAGAATATGATTATTTTCAGAGTAAGATCATACCACTAGTAGAAGCAACTGACTTATTGAGCACTTACTTTTAGCTGCTATAGTTTGAAGTTTTTTCCATATGTGATTTTGTTTAATCCCCATAATAATCCTCTGAAACAAATTGGTAAGTCATAATTTTACTGATAGCTGGCCTGTTTGCTTTCTCTTTTTTTCCTAGTGTATAAAACAGTGGTGGCTGTGTTGTCAGTGACATCTCAGATTTGGTGAAATAGGTTATTATACTAAATTGGCAAATGAGAAAATAGATCTATTAAGTCACTTGTCCCAAAGTTACATAGATAATAAATAGTAGAGCCAAGATTTCTAAATTGCCTTCTGATTTTCTTTACCCACTTTTCAAAGATCTTGAAATTTTTCCAAAAATCTTATGTTACCTTTCTATTTCGGGTTTATTTTAAACACAGTTACATGTTTTGCATATTTATTTGTCATTTATAAGCTGTCTAGAAATATTTTTTTCACAAACTTTTATTTTACATTCAGAGGTTTCAAAATATACTTGATGAATCAACCTGTTACTTATATTGTTTTCCCTCTGTCATGCTGGTAGGCCTTCCAACTACCACAAAAATAGAAAATCACTGGTATTTTCCTAAAGTACTTTTTTCTTTTCTTCAGAGTAATCTTTAAGATAAACCATGTAATCTATAACCAGAGAATGTTGGCTGGAAAAATTCCTAATTTGAAGTGTTTATTTAGATTTTGCCCCCCTATGGCTTTAGAATAATTACTTTTAGAGAAGAGCATGGTTCTTGTAGGATGTGAAATCAGAGTTATTTTTTCTGGATATGCCTATGTATGTGGCTCTTCATTAATCTTGTCAGTTAGTCTTCAAGAATTTTTTTCACTCACAGATTATTATTTCTAATCTTGATTAATCTGTTTCTTCCGTTCATTTTGACTTTTCAGAATTCTGTGAGAATTTGTTGAGTTTGTCTTTCTATTCTCATCTATGCCAGAATCTTCCAAAGGAGTCAGAAGAGGGCTCCCTCTCCATTGTCCACACACTCTGGGTGGGGAGGGAGCTTCTGTCCCCCTGCTCTTCAACCCTTGATTGTCCATTTCTCCACCTATTTCTTCCTTTCCTCAAAGCAGTAATTGCCCTTAGTTGATACACTAAAGGGAGGTTGTATACTGTGATCATATTTCTGCTATTTACTATCTGTGTGACCGTGGGTTTTCTTCATAATTTCCTTAGTATAATGTGATCTATGAGGTTTAGGGAATATGATGATAAAGAAATACACCTAAATGATGTACCCTTAACTCTACCAGCCTGGGGTTCCCCCAACTCCTGCCTCCTGGTTTTTCCAATGTCCAGTGAGATACCAGGTCTCATTGTTTGTTTGTTTGTTTGTTTCTCTTTCCTTCTTATGAGTTCACGCCTTATTGCCTCACTGTGCTGTCTTGTTTCAGATCAGACTTTGTAGGAGATACAGTGTACTGATCTCCTAATTATGCTCCCTGCCCCTTTTACTCTTCACCAGTAAAATAGTTTGGTCCTGTCACTTCCTTTATTTTGCTCATTGAGTTCCTATTTCTTTCAGGATAAATTCTTACTCTTTTATGTTCATTCTATTTTTATTAAAAAATACATTCTGTATTTACTGGAACATTAAGCCTAGCATTGGAGTATAATGATCAGAAGAATGTGTTCTCTCCCTGTCCCTGTCACAGACAGCCTGTCTCGGTATCTGCCAATATCTCTAGCTCCCTGGATTTTATTTATTTATTTTTTATTATTTTTTATTCTTTGATACCAAGGACTTAACCCAGAGGCACTTAGCCACTGACCCAGCCAGCCTTTTTATTTTTTATTGTGAGACAGGGTCTCATTAGGTTGCTCACCACCTCACTAAATTGCTAAACCTGCCTCAGCCTCCTGAGCTGCTTGGATTATAGGCATTCGCCATCACACTGGACTGCTCCCTTGGATTTTAAGGACTGAATATGATAGAAATGCAGTTGTGGAGTTATGAGACATTTATAAGGAGATTTCTGCCAGTTGGATACTAATACATGGGTCCGTTTTGAACTTGTGTAGTGTGTTTTCACCTTTGGTCACATTGTTTTGAGTCTGAATCTCTCTTCATCCATTTTGGTATCTTAGGAACAAGGAAAATTATAGTTAGAGGCAGGTTAGCTGTTTGTATAAATTGTTGAGAAAAAATAACTTAACTCCTAACTCCAAAAGGATCCTAGGGAACTTCTCTAACTCGTGCCCAACAATAAAAAATATTGAGTATGTAAGGTGGGCTGTTATGCAACCAGTAAAAATGATGTCTGTTTAAGAATTTACAGTGACATGGAAAAGTGATTACGGCCAGGCA